GAGAGAGAGAGAGAAGGATGCATCGTGGACGAGTTGGAGGGGGAAGGTTGGAAGCGGCGCATGCAAGCTCGCAGGCCGGAATGGAGTCGTAGGATAGCAATTTCGACCGAGCAGTAATAAAGCACGTCTGCGCGCCGAAATCCTGATGAATGGCCGCGCTTAGGCTTGAAATGGAGAAGCGACGAGCCACTAACACTTACTCTGCCCTACCCGTCCTCTATCTCTCTCGCTCATCGTTTCTAGCGCGTGCATGATCCTTTCCTCCCTATCTCCTCTGCTCGACCATCTCTCTCTCTCTCTCTCTCTGTCGTTCCACACTACCGATCATTCCTCCTCCCTCGTTCGATTCACGTCTCTTTATCCCGTCGCCTGATCCCTCCACATTTCAGCGTAGCCCCGCGCAATTTATACGTTCGATTTACTATCGGCGTGTTGCGCTTCTGTCATTGTTTTATCGCCGAATCCTGGCTTTATAATGAAGCTTCCTACCGCTTCCTTTTTTCCGTTCGAGCTCGTCCGTTATTTCGCGACAGGTTATGACGCAGTGGATTCACGGGTTATCGATCGGGCGCGCGCCTTTTCTCGCCAATTAGTTTACGAACACCTGTCCTTAAAGACACGGAATCCGGCGATTCTTATTCCAAAAATCGACACGGCTTCGTAAGTATAATTATTTCAACGTGCGTACGTGCGTTTGCTACGTTGGGGAAGGGATAAAAAAGAAAAAATTTACAGATAATTAAATCGGTAGGGGAGGGGATTTTATTAGGCAAGGCAGTAACTAAAGCGCCCCCATTACCTTTTCCGCGGCGTTGACGGTGTCTCGCGCGTTTCGTCCTTTCTGCAACGTCTGTTGGTTTTTCAGAGGCCTGGTAATATTCCCCCGAATAAGTGGGGGAACTCTTATCTTGCTAAGTGCATTACCAGGGCCGCATATACATTACTTCTCTTACCGCGGCCGGGCCGCGTGTATCGGGCACACAGAGCCCCCTCCCGTAGGCTTTACGAGGAGGATCCGAAGCGGAATATTTTAAATGTATGCAAGAACACGTTCCGCCCTTCTCCTAAAGCAACTCCGCCGCGAAGTAATCTCCCTTTCATCGTCATGAAGAACTGTGCGACTCGTGTCGGTGCCCGAACGGGTATAAAAGGCTACGTCTAACGTAGCCCCTCCCCTTCGACAGTATTACGGCCGCAGAGAAAAATAAAGGAAGGTGGTGTGTATTTTATTGAGAAACAATCTTTGAATATATAGAACGATTTGTCTCGAGATCGAATTGTCCAATCATTGGAACGAAGTGTTGAATCACGCTCGGGTATAAAGTATTGCATATAATACGTAAATAAATGCGATAAATAAATGATCACAACAATTGTTAACGATATTTCATTTTAAATAGAGCGACGAGAGGCTCTCGAAAAGAAACATAACCATGCATCGTGGCGAGAAAACCGACGAAAACTCCGAGATATTTAACCGGAGAGAGGCATGTCGGTGACCATCGAACCGTCCCTGCGTGATATCCTCCATCGAAGCTGTAATGTGACAGCCGCCGCATTTCGCGGTCATCTTGCTCCGCTTCGATGATAATCGTAACTCCAAGTCGCCGTGGAAAAGCGGCAATAACGATATTTCGAAGGGAAGGAGGGAGGGAGGCGCGCGCCCGAGCAACCACCTATCCCCCCCCCCTCCTCCCGCTTTGTTTTCGTTGCATCGAGAAGAAGCGGCGTGAAGAATAAGATAGCAGACGCATATTTTACCACGGGCCTCTTCTCTCACCGACGGGGAGAATATCGTTCGCGAGCGGCTGTCGCGATGTCGCCTCCTTGAGTTATCGTCGTATAAAGCAGCACAACCGAAATGTAGATGCTCGCGCTACGATGCTTTTTACTATTTCGAACGTTCTCGAGCGGAGAGGAGAATAGAGTAGATTCCGTTCTTTCCGGCGGAGGAATCGTTTTAAAAAAAACTCAGCCCAACCTACTAATTTCGTGCCGCTGCGCACGACGCGTTCACGTGGCCTGGAAAGAGGCCTCGCAGGACCTTCGCGCTATCCCCACTCCAAACGCTTTGTTGACAAACCCGACGCCACACGCCTCGCCAGCTGTAATTCGAACGTTCAAAAATTGGTAAAAATTATTCTCTTGACTTACGAAGTCAATTATTTCGGTATTATATAACGTAATCTATCTTATTCGTATGTACAATTATTAACTATATCGTATCGATTCTTCACGCGACGAATACGCTCTCCTCGATCGAGGAATCAAAAGAAATATATAATGATACACGATCTATCGCGCAAGAATTAATTCTCCTTCGACTTCTTCTTCGGATATAACCCTCCCTCCCTCCCTGCCGCAAAAAAGTGCGAAATCCCGCATGCTGGGATCGCGAGGTATCGAAGCCACGGCCCGAGTCCAAGAACACAGAGGCTGATTTACCGCGGCGCAACGTCAACCGGGATGAAATATTCGCTCGAGCCGCGCAGCCTGTTTCAGCAACTTCGTGCTTCTCTCTCTCCCTGGAAAAGAAAAAAAGAAGAGGAAGAAGAAGAAGAAGAAGGAGAGGAAAAAAAGGGGGGGGAGGAAAACTTCTCCTCTGCTGTAATAACAGGTCCTTCCCCGTTATTGAACGATTCTCGTGTCTTATCGCGGGACCAATTCGATCTCTCTCTCTCCCCTCCCCCTCCCCCGCGTTTGCTTACCTCGCGCGAAACCACGCTCGTATCGGAAAGTTTTTGCAGCGCTGGGTGGGTCGGACGGGTCGTCCATCGTCGTGCGCGGGGTGGAAAGAAGTGCGAGGAATGTTAATACGAATATTATGATTTATCGACGGAGCATAGAGGGAGAAGGGTGGCTCGCGAGGGGTGGAAAAGGTGGAAAAGGAGGAGAGGAAAAAATGGAAAGAACCTCGTGCGTACATTCTCGATCAAGACTCGTAAATGGAATCGTAAGAAAGCATTTTCGAACGAAATTCTAATCTTTGCCGAAATTTGAAAGGAACAACAACAATTTGACTTCGTCTCGAACGTTATTCCAGCTGCTGTTATCTCACGATTGATCCATCGTCCTGCAAAATAAAGCAAAAAAAATCCATTTAACACGCCATATATGGGTGACGCTTTCTTCTTCTTCTTCTTCTTCAAAAAAAAAAAAAAATAAGATTTTAACCATTTACATTTGTATTTATACATTTTAAGAAAGTTATCGATCAAGCAACATCAAGAGCCCTCTAGAATGTTATATTATATTATACATATATTTATTATATATTAAATATATATATATTTATACATATATATATTTATTAATGTAAAATTAATGTAAAATAGCGGAATTTTAAAAGAAATTTGAACGGAATAAGCAGTGAAATATAAATAAAATATACTTTGGAATATTATATATGGTAATATAGGAGGCTGTTATTACCGTCGATAATATAGAACTGAGTTTAAATTGCCAATTAGAGGCTTGTATATATCAAATTACTGAAGAAGTAGAGGCAACTGAGAGCAACTAATTCAGAATCGGTATTAGTTAATGAAGACTAACAACTGATATATATATATATATATATAAATTTTATATTAAAAAACGTTAAAACTATTTCCGTTTATCGATCTCGCGTTCACGTTCTTACGGTGTCCCGACCGTAACATTTGGGCCCCGTGAGCGATCGATCGGCCTTAATTTTCGCTCGAGATTGTACTGTAACGGGGGCCAAAAAGCTTGATCCACACGGACGCGGCGCGCACGAAGTGGTGTAACATCGGGGCGAGGCGTTTTTCTTAGTCCGCCTGAGCCGGCAGAGATTTATTCCCGGGCCCAGCAAGACAAATGGTAAGATTGTGTCTAAAATTTTAACAGCGCATTTGGGTGAACACGTCCTCCTTCGCGAGGAATATCCCTCTCGTATATGCGACCGGTGCGAGGGATAAGGTTAAGGGGGCGAGGCAAGTGTTTGGAGGAGGGTGTGGGGGAGGGGGGAGGGGGGAAGAAGTTTTCTAGTTATCCCTTAGGCGAGAATGCGGTCCCGAAACTCGTTGCTCGGTTCGTGACAGAATCGAGCCGTGAAACGAGATCCTCACCCGGAAACTGCCGGCCTGGGACGGGTTTATCCCAATTATTGGCTTTCGATCAGCTCCCCCTCCCTCTCCCCCCTTGTTTCACACCATCTTCCCAACCTGTGATTTTTCGATCGATTTCGACTTCTTTTTCTCTTTTTTTTTGAAATTAAAAGCTTCATCCCCTTCGGAAATCCAACGTTATTCTTTCGTTACGGTTACGTTAAGGAGGAGTGCAATTCTGTATGGAAAATGTTGCGGAATATTCACGCAGTTTGTGAAATTTCGTTTACGAAATCATTCGTTGCGAATGAAAATTTATGCAACAAATTTTTGGAAAATTTAAGAAACGAGGAGACAAGCGCGAGCAATAAATAAAATACGAGATGTAAGAAATTATAAATGAAAATTTCTGCTCCGCAACGATCGGCCACCTCAACGTGTGGCGTAAATCAAACGCGGGCGAGCGATAACTCGGGCGAAATAGAGTGACGGGAAAACGCGGGAAGATATTAACCTATTACGTTCACACCACGTTCGTTTCACGGTTGTGGGGCAGTATATTAATTTAAAGAATGTTGTCGGTCGCGCGGCATTCCATATATGAAATTTTCCCGCCGAAAAGGGTGGAAAATAACGGGCGACCGACTCCCCCGGCGTGGGTGGGGAGGAGCGTGCCTGGCGTGCTCGACCACCAATTTCGACCCCTCCCCTCCCGTATAAATAATACACCGAGGGATGATCCATCCCTGCTACGATCTATCCACCACGTGCGCCACCGCCAACCTTCTCTTTTATCACTTCTCGCCAGCAAGAAAACGGAATTGCCTTCGCCAACCATTGCCATCTTCTTATCCGATTTCTTCTTCTCTCTCAACCCCCACCTCGAAGAAGGGGCTCCTCTTGTGGGAGGGGCGAGGTGAACGAGACGAGAAAAATGAAAGGGGAAGGGAGTTACCTTTTCCTCGAGGACTGTGCCCGTTCGATAAATAAAAGACGCCGCCATCCCTTGGTTAGCGACAATAAGAAGAACGAGGATCGATGCTGGTATCCATCGGTAAATGAAGACGAAGGGGTTTCGAAGGGATTTTGTCTCTCCTGTGTGCAGGATGGAGAAGAGGGGACAGGAGGAGAGAAGGAAAGATTAAGTTTGGGAAAGAATTAATTTGTAGATACATCGTCACGATGTTCGAATAAATTTCACTTACATTCGTGAATTCTTTCCTTCGTATTTTTCGCCAAATCATCGAACACCACATGGAAAATTGTACACGTGCAAGAACACTGCGTGAAGAACACGGTCTCTGAAAAGGGAAGGGAAACGGTTTATCGGTGTTGGACGGTCGTCGTGTAAGACACCACTCCCTCGTTGCAATCTCTTTTCTTTTGCTCACGTAACCAATTCTATTCACCCAGCGCTCGATCTATCTCTTTTTCTAAGCCGGCTGATACCGATAGAGCGGCGACACTGTCACCCCGCCCATAAAACACCTCCCCCCTCCGAGGCCGGCACAATTTTAAGTTTTACGCCATTTACAAAATGAGTCGCCATTATTTTTGCCCGCTGGATTTATCGCTACATACATTTGGACCGAGCGACAATCCAATTTATGTGGGAGTCCCCCGTAATAGTCTGCCACCGCAACGCGAGAAACCTCCTTCTCGTCGTTCTTTCCTTCCCCCACCAGTATTTCGCTGCACTGATTAAATAAAGGGACGAATGGAGGTGACTCCTAATTAGTGCACCACTTTCCTTGCATTCCAAGCCCAGTGACCAATGATCTCCCGCCGCGGATTAGTCGCAGTCGTGCGTTATATCCCCCACCCAAGGAATCCCCTCCCCTCCTTTCCCCTTGGCGAATTAAGGAAACTCCACCTCCGATTGTGAGACGATTTCGTTTTTTCGATAAAGAAAGATAGATGGATGGATGGATGGACGATTTGAAGTTGTTCGCCTCCTCCCCCCCTCCCGTGATCAAACTTCCGAATCGTGGAAATTTTATCGATCAACTTTCGCGACGAAAGTTTGCGACAGCGATTTCATTCATCGAAAGAGAAAGAATTACGTTGGAAATTATTATTTTTTTTTTTGGTCGAAGCTAACGACTTTGACCAATGATTTCTTTCGTAGGATTGGAAAATAAAATTTTAGGTTATGTTACGCGTCGTGTTAAGAATTTACGATATCTCTCTTCTTAAATAAACTTAAATATTAATATACGAGATAAATTTACGAGAAATGTAAACAGATGTGTATATTCCTTCGTAAAAATCGATCGTTATATCGAATCGAACAAACAATTATCGTGCGACGTAAAATATACGAAACACAAACATTGTATTTATTACACCGCAATATATATATATATATATCGTCAAATAATGGAAAAAAGTCACGTCATTAGTCGAAAGTTTACGATTTAATTTATTTAAACTAATTATTTAACTCGAATAAAAGAAACTATTATACGATATATTAAAATATAACACGAAAGACGAGAAACTTACGTTATACGTGTCGAATGTTATTCCTTCTCCTTCGGCGTCCAAACAGCAACTGAAGGAATATTGTCGACTTTAATACTTTTCCACGAATCAATTAAGCGAAAGTAAATGTTTCGCTTTAGTTTATATACTGCTTTTTGTACTCGTTCGTGCTCGTCTATAATATTTATCCTTCTTATGTTTCTTCTATCTCTCATCTATTATTTAATCTATTATAATTGTGATAATTATTATAATTATTAAACAATTGAACATTAAATGAAATTGTTTACAATATATATATATATAAAATATAATATAACATAATACGATAAAATCGTAAAAATAATTTTACTTCAAATTACGTTTAATAAAACTTTTGAAACGTCGAAAAAATTATTTATTAACCGTATGTATTTACCAATTACTTATCTTATTTATTTTTTATAAGCATCTTTCCCAGTGTGCATAATACGATTCGTATTATTCCACGATGCTAACGAACGAGGACCAACCAAGTGTCGTTATTTATCACGCACGCAGTAGGGTTTAATTGAGAATGATAAATACCTATGCCTATGCTTTACGATCCATCGAATCCTAATTAAGATCTGTTAGGTCAACAACAATTTCTCACGGCTTTCTTCGAAAGCTTCTCGAAGACGCAAGTCTCTCTGCGTAAATCATGAAATCGGGAAAATCGGGAGCTGCCACCGCGAGCAGATTAAATGAAACAGAATTATAGGCGAAAATACGAGGGCGCGAAATATTTGTCGTCGTCAGCAACAATTTCCACAGCGCTCGTCCAAACAGAGAGGCGCGTTTCCGCGTAGCCGGTGCACGCGGCCGCGCAGGATTTATCGCGAAATTTACGATGTAACGGAGCGCAATTTCGGTATCAGCCTCAAACTCGCGCCCCCTCCCCGTCGAATTAAACTTCCAAAGTGCTGGCAGAATGGGGGAGGGGGAAAAAAAAAAGTGAAACGAGAAAAACTAGAAGCTCGTGTAGTGGTTCATAAGTATCCGGACAATTTTTTATCCGGGCCTCATGAATGTACTCGAATTCAAAGCAAAGCGTGGAAATTAAAAACGAATTAACGACGACACGGCGCGTCCGATTATTTGTTAATTTTTAATTTCACTAGTAAGTTTGATAATAAAAATTATTTGTCTCAACCGCTTGGAATTATAAATTGGTTAATAAATGATCAATTTTTAATTGCTTTGATCAAAGCTGCAATAAGAAGAAGTTGTAATACAAGTATTATATATTTCTCATCATTGATTCATCGTTCAACATCGTGTTATAACTAACACATATAATTCATAATTCAAATTCCAATTATTCGTGCTTTAAATATTTGCAAAGCTTTAACTTTTACGCGTATACGTTGTAATTAATTTAAACGGTGCACCGTTTGTTTCGTCATTTCCTGCACGCGTCGAACATCCGCCCATTCGATGGAGGAACGCCTTCCTCCGACCGAGTGTTGATTTTTCTTCCGACGTTAAGTCTTTGCCGGCGACGTAGCCGATGCGACGGTGTGGAGGGGGAGCTGCACGTCGCCACCGCAATATTTATCGTAATTTGATACAACCGGGCCAGGAACAAAAAAATTGCTTCCAAGCTAGAGAGACCGGCCGGAGGGAAGGGGAAGGGGTGGTGCGGAGGGGGTGGGGTGGGGTGGGGTGGGGCCAGAAAGGAGAGCCATAGATCGCGAGCAGCTCAGACGCAGCCGCGCCCCCGCCATCCTCAACCCCTTGCGACTCGTCCGATACTCCTCTCGCCTCGTCCCACCGGGCACTCCAACTTTTCCCTTCCCTCATCCTCCTTTTTCCTTCTCCTCGCCCGTAGTCGCCACCCTTGCTTCCTCTCTCTACGTATATTATACGAGGATCCCTCTCTCGATCATCTTGGTGAGTAAACAGTGGTGACCGATGAGTCGAGAAAACGAGCCGGCTTCCTGAGTAGACACGGTAAACAGGATCCGTTTTTCCGTGATCGAGTCTCCCTTCGATATTCATATTCCTGATATTTTAGGTATTATAAAATAATAAATTTCGATACGATTTGGTATTATTTTCTATTACAATTGTCCTTTTCGTATGCGTTCATTTTGTGTGCAAGTTTCATCAGTCGATGATGATGGGGGGGAGGGGGGAGGGGGGGGGTTAGTCTCGTCTTTCGCAGAACCAATGGCAAGGGATGCACAAAAGGGATGCACAAAGGGTTGATCTCGTACGCGACTCTCGTCTACCAACGACAACGGTTCGAATACAGTTGATTCGACACGCGGTATCATTTAGTCATGTACAGAGGGATGTGCAAATGTCGTCTGATTTATGAAACGTATTAAAGAACAATACGGGAAATTGAAACAGTGCAGCCGATTACGGTTGAATCCGACTATCGTTCGTCCCCTCCCCCCACCCAATATTCCTTCGTGCAAGAATAGAATAGAAAGGCAGCGATAAATTTAATAAACCTCGAAAATGAAAACGAAGGTAATCGCGGGTAATCGAGGCCGAGTTCTCGAATAGTTTCGAGAAGAATAATGGAACCACTCCGGTTCGATAGCGCCGAAGAAATCTATAACGTTGAACGAAACGAGAGTAAGACGAAAGAGATTGGATGATTTCCACATAGGAACAACGATTGTACGTATGTGGAGCATCATCCCAAAGAAAAAAAAGAAAAAGAAAAAAAAATTTGATGGAAAAAGACGAAAGAATCACGCGAGAAAGAAGACCGAACAACCGATTCCGTGTTAAAAGAAAGCGTGACGATTGTACGTGGAAGCGCGTATTATGTACGACCGGTAAGGTAAATATGTGCCTGATCGACGTTCGTTCCCGTGCACGGCATCGAGAAAGATGGACGTATCCATTCTATCCGGTTGCGTGCGAAGGATAGAAAACACACGAGGCGGAGTGAGGGTGAAGGGGTGGTTGTGGGCGGTGGATTCGAGGGGATGGTGGTAGTGGATGAGGTGAAACGAGAGAACACGGTTGGAGAGAAAGGGATTCGAGCAAGCGAGAAGTATTATGGCGAAGCGCGGCGCGCGGACGGGAGAAAGAGAGCGGTATAGAAAGAGAGGCGGATAGAGGGGAGGCGGAGTGAGGTAGTGGGGGTTGACAGAGATGAATTCGTTTCATTTCACGCTGGGAAGCTCTCGCGTTCCCCGCGTCCGATGATTTACTGGGCTACAATGTGGTAACCCATGATTTATCGCTACCAACACGCCGCCTCGCCACACTACGCCATACCTGGATACCATGGCTACGTATGCGTCGGGCCCGTGTGTCCAGAGAGAAGAACTTTCTACCCTCTTTCTCTGTTTTTCACGGTTCCTCATCCTTCTTTCCTCCTTCCTTTCCCTCTTCTCACTATCTCGCGTACTTGAACGTGTCTTCGGATGTGGAATAAGTGGGAGGAGAGAGGGGAAGAGAGAGAGAGAAAAAGAGAGAGAAAGGGGGTTGAAGACTCTCATGGCCACGTTGTCGTGGAATATACAGGGTGTCATGGAACCGGTAGTACAATCTGGATGTGATTCTACGTATAAATATAAAATGAAGAACATTTTTTTTCGTTCGAATAAATGAAAATTGAATATTGTATTTTTCAAATACACGTAAAA